CCCCCCCCCCACCCCTCTGGATGATGTGGTCATCCCAATCCCAGCAGCTCCACCATCTGAGACAAGCTGACTTACAATAATGACTTTATTTTAACATATTTAATTACAGACATAAAATAGCTGGGGAAGGGGGTGAACCCCAGCCTAGCCCCGTCTCGGGGCCGCCAGGAGGGGGAGACGCAGGCGAGGCCTCCCTGATGACCCTCCTTCTGGGGGGGGGGTCTTCCTATGGCGGGGCCCTATTGCTTCAGGGGGGAGGGGCCATGCAAACGAGGGAGGCGGGGACGCCTCTGGGCCCCGCCCACCCCACCCGCCGCGGCCTCCCTCTGCAATGCCCGGACGTGCCCCAACCCTGGCCTCTCCACCTCCTTTCTCTTTCTCCAGGGAGCGGACCCTCTGGCCGGCCCCCCACCCCCTCTGCAAACCTAAAGGGGAATAAATACAAACTTTACAAAGTAAAAGGGGGTCCAACGTTGCCCTGGGCTGGGCCTGGGGTCAGATGGGGAGCAGGCCCTGGGATGCGGGCCTCACATCACATCATCCCTAACTGCAGCAGCGTGCTGGCGTAGGCCATGGGCTTGACGTCGGGATGAGGCTGGGACACGAGAGCACACACACACGGCAAGGGAGACAGAAACAGGGCAGCTTCAGGGAGGTTGTCTGAACACCAGATGCAGAGACCAGCCCTCCCCCCAAGAGCTGCTGAGCACTGCACTCTGTCCTCGACTGGGCCTCAGCCTTGTGCTCCCCAGGCCAGGGACAGCAGGGGACAGAGGGGGTGACTCACCACTGCTGTGAACTGGTGGAACTGGGGCCGCAGGTCAGAGCCCCGGAGGTGGATATAGGAGGCTTTATTCCCCATCTGGTCACTGTGGGGACAGGGGCAGAGCAGCTGGTCAGGGGTGGGGAGCAGGGGGGAAACACAAGGAAGGGCTGGGGAGGGGCCTGGAGGGAAGTGACCCAAGGAGACTGGATGGCAGAAAGTCCCAGTGAAGAGGGAGACACAGACGGACAGAGCCCATCAGAGACACTGACAGAAGTGGAGTCAGAGACGTTGAGAGCAGAGAGAGAGAGGCATGGACACAGACAGCTCCAGACACAGAAGTGAGAGAGGCCAACTGGGAAAGGCAGGAATCCAGGGGAAAGGAGGGGGGCCCAGGAGGTTCAGGTAGGAGGGGAGCAGAGGCGGAAGGGGAAGCAGGGGACAGGTGGGGGGCACATGTGCCCCCACGGAGGCAGGACGCTTGCCAAAGCCTGGACTCTGACCCAAGCACACCCTGGCTCTAACCACCAAGAAACAGAGGATAGAGGAACATGGTGACCGGCACCCGCAGGGTGTAGGCGGCCTGGTCCAGAGCACAGGCAACTCTGGGGGACAAGGGGCCTGGTTTCTTCAACCAAAAGCCTACAAGTGACAGGTGAGGAGGGACAGGGAACCGAAACACCAAGAATGTGTCCCGTTACTCGGAAGAAATCAAACCAACAAGAGCCATTTTTGAGAGACACGAGGAAACGGGACTCTGCGTTCAGGTGATCCCATCTGACACTTGACAGAGTGACAGTGGAATTCCGGTTGCACGAAAAGGTTCAGGGGCACCAGGGGGTGTCGGAGCACGGAAGTGGTGATGCCCAGGGTGGGGGTGGCCGGAGGCCGGCCCGGGTTGGCAACTGCTGAACCCGGGTGACGAGGACGTGGGTGTTCCTTGTACGATTTTACCTGCTCTCGTGTGTCTCTGAAACTTTCTACCGCAAAAAGTTAAAGGAAAAACCAGCAACACAAGCAACAGCGGGTGGGGAAGGGAGGCCCGGATGGGTCGGAGGCGGGACCCACCAGTAGTTGGGGGCGGAAAAGACGGTGACGCAGCGGCCGCCATGTGCCACCTCGTAGCCCTCGGCCTTGACCTCGTGGCTGCGGATGATGTAGTCCAGGTGGTTGTCCTCCAGGAAGGCCTTGGTGACGTCGGGGCCAAACTGGCAGCTCACGCCCCGCTTGCTGACCGAGCGTCCATTCTGGGGAGACAGGGGGCTCAGGGTGCCGCCCGCCCCACCCCCTCTGCCCACAGCCCGCACCCGCCGGCCCAGCCTGGGGAACACTGACCTGCGGCTGTGGGTCTGACCAGAGCAGGTCGCACATGGGACCTGGGCGGGGGAAGGAGAGGGGACATCAGCGCAGTTGGGCTGGAGGCCGGGCAGGGGCAAGTGAAATGGGGTTCTGAGCCCCGTGACCGCCCCGCCAGATCCAGCCAATGTATTACGGCCCCGCAGGGGGAGGACCCTTTAACAGTGCTATTCGGATCACACCCCTCTGCTACTCAAAGCCTTCTGGGGCTCCCGCTGCCCTAGGAACAAAGCCCAAGCTCCTCCCCCAGGCCTCTGAGGCTCTGCAGGGCCTCATCAACCCCACTCACCCCAAAACCACTGCCCTGCCAGCTGTTCCTCCCGTGTGCGAAGCTCACACCTGCCTCAAGCCCCTCTGTGCTTGCCCGTGGCAATTCTGCGTGGCGGGTGCCTCCTTCCCAGTCAGTCCTTGGTGTGACTCCCTAGAGAGGCCATCCAGACCCCCAGCACCCCACCCTCCCCATGCCCTGTGCAACACTTCCCACAGTCGTGCGTGTGTGTGTGTGTGTGTGTGTGTGAGTACTCGGCCACCTGTCCTCACTAGCACGGGAACCCCGGTACGTCACTCTCCAGAACTCACAAACAAGTGACCAGAGCGCGCCCCACGTGGTGTGCGAGAACACTCCCTTGCAGGCACAGCCCCGTGGGGAAGTGCGCCAACCCGAGTCACAGGCGAGGACGCAGAGGCTCAGCCCTGCCATCCTCGCCAAGGGCAGGAAGCCCACGCAGGAGGTGCCGCGGCCCCGGGAGGGAAGGGGCTGTCACCCGGCCCACCACCCTCACCTGAATCCGGGGGCTGCCGGTTCCGCTCAATCTTCCTGATGTCGTCCAGGGTGACGCCATCTTCACTGAACAAGCCCCCGTGCATGATCTGGGGTGTAGTGCGGGGACAGCTGTGTGAGCGGAGGCACCGGCCACACCCCAACCCTCCAGCTCGCTTCAGGGCGGCCCTCGTGGGCGCGGGCGCGGGAAGGGGCCCGAGGGGTCCCGCCTGCCGCCCTCACCAGCACTTTGCCGTTGATACACTGGGCCAGCGGGAGCCACTCGAACACCTCGCTGAAGAGTTCGTACATCTGGGCTGTGTATTTGGCCTTCACTTCGCCCTCGAAGCCATAGATCTGGTTCATGTTGTCCGTCTCATGGTTGCCTGGCCAGGAGCAGAGCGAAGTGGTCAGCACCCCCTGCACGGGCACCCCCGGGCCCGGGTCCAGGGGCCTGAGGCCAACAACACACACGCACGCCAGAAACCCAGTGAGGTGGAGACACTGTTCTTAGCCCCTTCTCTGAGAGGCACACACTGGGCAGGTGGCCACAAGGCCTAGGCCTGGCCCAGCCTGGAGTGACCATGGGTATGTCCCTTGCCCCCTGGGCCCTGGGCTCCTTTCTGGAGAACCTGCGTGCCTTCCAGGCTGGAAGGGCGCAGGTCGGAACAAAAAACAGGCCCCTCCAAGATGCCTGCCGTGGGCCCGCCCCTCGCTGTGCCTCTAACTTCCCGCACACAACCTCGTTCTGCCCTCCCGGGACTCCCAGGGCTCGGGGCAGACAAGGAAGCTGCCCGGGCCCCCGTGTCTGCCGAGTCTGCCAAGTCTGGCGTCATCAACTCTTTTGCTGGGGCTCGCTCTTCTCACCTCCCGCAGGGAAGCCCACAGCAGACAGTCACCGAGCACCTACCATGTGCCGAGCGCTGACGCTCAGGTCCCCGGGAGCCCCCAACCCAGCCCAATTCCCCACCTCTCAATGGAGCCCCCAACCCGGCCCCATTCCCCACCTCTCAATGGATCCCCCAGCCCGGCCCCATTCCCCACGTCTCAATGGAGCCCTCAACCCAGACCAATTCTCCACCTCTTAATGGACATGTGCC